GGGGGGGGGCTTACATTCATTATATGAACATATCAAAAAGCATCATTTACTGTGATATATTTCTAATAACACCAGCACATAAAGCTGAGACCAACAGATCAGGAGTTTTACCATAATGCCCTCATATATTATTAAAGAGCCGACAACTATACCCATACAATGTACATACTATCGGACACTTCAGCGTGATAAAGAGATACTGTTCGCATCTTGTGGCCACAACAGAACAGCGTACATGCACCTTCTGTCGTCACCAAACCATTGATAAGTCATTTGAAACTTTCGAAAACAAACGTATCCACATTTTTACCATAAATAAACGAAGAAAGAAAGAAAGAAAGAAAGAAAGAAAGAAAGAAAGAAAGAAAGAAAGAAAGAAAGAAAGAAAGAAAGAAAAGAAAGAAAGAAAAGAAAGAAAGACAGAAACTCTTGAAATTTCTCATGTCACTTCTTCGAGACGTGCCCTTTTCCTACTCTATCCTTTCTCTAAAAACAGAGAAAAACATGAATCTTGCAGATTTTCTTTTTTAAAATAATGCGCCTTATATTATTTTTGTTCAGTCCTTTAAAATGTGGTAACAGAGAAAAATGTTGATCGCGTCAATATTCATTATTTCTTTCAAAGAAACGACACAACAAATAATTTGCAGTTGTAGGCTTTTTCTTTAGGGTTTATTTGTATTGTATGTGGTTGGTGGGGTGGGGTGGGGGCTGCTTTTTATGAAAAGAACGTAATTTGTCACTTACATTGTTCTTGAAACGAACTGTCAATTTAAAAGGACGGCGCTGTTATCATCACATGTCAAGAAGGACGGGCCAGTTCATAGATAATGACGACCCAGGAATTTTAAACTGACGACGTCTGACTGCTATCATAATAGCTTTGAGACCAAAATGTGGGCGGGTGGCCGGTGCTCTGACGTGATTTGCTTCTTCTTTCCTTTACCAAACATATATCTTCCTTGTCGTTCCTCCTTTCGTGTGTGTGTGTGTGTGTGTGTGTGTGTGTGTGTGTGTGTGTATGTGTATGAGTGTGCACGCGTGTGTGTGTGTGTGTGTGTGTGTGTGTGTGA